TAAAGAATATTGTAACCAGGTCCTAGATGAATTCCATTCTTGTAATTTTAATAGGAATTACTTTCAACTAAAAAATTGTGAGTGTATATGTCTTCTCATCTATGCAGAGGCAATTGGAGACTCTTGGGGCTCAACGAGCTGGTCTTGAGGACATGCTCAAAGAGATGAAACGGAAGGTGAGATTAAATATCTAATATCTAGTGATTCTGGTCCTTGTTTACTTCTATATTTTGGAAGAATCTGAGAGAACCAGAATAATTTTGACACATGAGGATGCACGAATCTCACTCTCTTGTACTCTGTTCTTCTTCCCTTTGTGTTTTGCTTTCTCTTCTTCTGGTAAGCATGTTTATTAGGCTATATTACATGTATGGTTTCAGGATGATGTCCTGCCAAAGCTGATGACATCCACCGGGTCCTATGAAGATCTTTTCAGGAAAGAGATAGCAAAATATGATCCCATCCGTGAAGACATTGCACAAAATATTGAGGCGCAAGAACAGTTGTTGCTGCAAATTCAGGTGTATTTCGTTTACTCGGAACTCTTTTGGAACTAGTTTCAGGTCTCTCTTTGAGATCAGGATATCTGCTTTTATTTTTCTTGATGTTCTTAAGACGAGTATAGCCTACCTACTTAAAAAAACTTACAACAACTACAAGAATGTGCATCATTTATTTAGAACTGTTTCTCCCAAGCTCTGTTTCATAAGCTGGTAACTGAAGCTGTTGAAATGTTTACCTAACAGTGGCTAACACGGATTGCATTTTGAGTGGCAATATGTATTGAGACTGTTTATTTTTGCTGCTAATTTGAACAAATGAGTTGACTAAATTAGCTGGCAATGGCTGCATCCCCTTTGTAGCCCAAAATCAACAATAAAAAAGAGTCTACAATCACAATGATAGGATGCTGTTTAAATCAGCATGTATAAATAAACTTGTCTTTCCTACATTCATTCAGTTATTACTGAAGGTGACCAGTAATGTTTTTTTGCACCTTAGGTTTCAATGTGCTGAAAACAATTCAGCACTCACTTGTCAATCTGTTTTCTGAATTCTTAGCCTGTTATGAAGCAAATTTTGGTTCCTAAAATTATAGATTATCCTTGTTTACAGGCTCAAAATGAAGAGTTTTCTGCTGTCTTCAATCTTGAAGATTACAAAGGTAGTGTTTTTTTTTTTTTTGTATAACTGTTGTTTCAATACTGCCTGAACAGGTTTCTTGAATGGGAATGCTTATTATACATGTATTTGATCCACATGTTCATTTCCTTTGTGTTTAAATACTGCACAGTTTATATTTCCACTATGCTGCTTATTTTGCTCCTGTAGAAAATTGGAACACAATCATTCTAGAAAACTTTCTTGTATATTCTATCAAAATATTGTTACAAAAAAACTTCTAGACTTCTAAGAAAAAGAAATAAAGATTTTAATTTCTTGATAATACTTGATTAGTTTTATCCCTAGGCGTTCTGATATGTTTTTTCTGAAGGTGGCTAGTTATCTCGAACTGAGAGACCATGTTCTTTTTCTAGTACTGGGCTTGACCTTTACATCCTTAGTGTAAATGAAATGCATGCTCTTTTGACACAAATCTCCCTCTAAATTTGTCTCAGCATCTCGTGAGAAGTGTTATAAGCAAATACAGGCTGCCATAGCCAAGTATCGAGAAATAAAGGAGAACATCAACGAAGGATTGAAGTTTTATGTTACTCTTCAGGTAAAACCTTCCTTGCTGCTTATGTCTGGGCTGTTCGGGATGTAAATTCCTGAACTTATGATCAAGTAGACATGCTCACTTCTTTTAAGTGCCTACTGCATTTTTTCCCCTTTCTCCTTGCATGCTTTTGAATTTACACCCTTGTGTCCATGCCTTTCCTTTGTACTCAGACACTATGTATTATATTTTATGGATATTTAAATAGTTTAGCTGGGTTACATGCCTAGGGCTGATATAAGAAACATAATGGTTGAAACAGGACGCCATCACCAATATCAAACAGCAGTGCAGTGATTTTGTGATGACCAGAAATATCCAGTGTCGAGAAATGATTGAAGATGTGCAAAGACAAATGGCTGGACTAAGCTTTCAAGATCGTAAGAACACAGGCTCATACAGCTATCCTGCAGTAAACCAGCCCCATCAGACTCCAAGATCCAGTTCGCAGCCTCCATTGGATCCTCAAAATGTTCCACATCCTCACTCCCAAACATCGTACTACCAGCCTCATGAGCAATCTGCAATGCCTGCTTATGCCCACCCTCCATCCCCTTATACAACACCACAACAACCACCTCCCTATCATATCCCCCCCGCTCCTGGTGCTCCTTACCCACCTCCACAGGTTCAACAACCAACAAGCCAGGAGTATGGCCAGCCTGCCTATCCAGGGTGGCGGGGCCCATATTACAATGCCCATGGACAACAATCTGGATCTCTCCCTCGGCCTCCTTACACTATTCCAGGTCCATACCCTCCTCACCAAGGCTACTATAAACAATAGTTCTCTTTTGAGTTGATAATTTGATAATCTATTGTGTGTTATTTTTTGTTGCTTGACCTCATCCTTGGTGGAATAGATTGGATTTAGTCACAGCATTTGGTTCCAAGGCATAACAATCGTGAATAGCCATTGGCTTTGAATAATCTCTGTATGGGCGTTGCATAGTTCTTGTTCATGTTATGCGTATGTATAGCTTGTTAACTTAAAAATATGGAGGTGATGCAGTACAAAGAGAAGTTTTCATTAATTTGTTTGTAATTTTACAAATTCATTTTTCAATACTTTTATGCAATTTGGGAACTTGTCTGTTTTTTGGTTTGGTTGATGTGGGAACGTGCTTCTAAGCCATTTCATCAATATTCGACAACGAAGAGTATAGATTGAATATTCAACACAATCGAATGTCTGGCATTCACATGTTAAGTGTGCTTACTAGCCTTTCCTCTATTGTTTAGCAGTTATTATTGTAACTAGGAGTTTGATTATTAGGATTTTTTTTTTCTTTCCCGTCTAAACAAGCATTCACATCTATATAAGCACGCACAACTTGTTAGTTTGTGATTTAACCATCAAAACATTTGAGCTGTGAATTCCAAAAATTCTAGTTTCTTGTGTATTCAGGAATG